TGGAGAAGGAGAGCATCTCCCTGAGGCGCAGGGAAGCCTCCAGGCTGAGGGAAGAGGGGAGCAGCTCTCTCCTCGGGAAAGGAATTCTGGGAAACAGCTAGGCCTGCATTTGCCTAATCCTCACCCAGGAGACCTGTCCATGTTGTGGCTTGAGGAAAAGGCAGAGGCCCCCCAGATAGGCCAGCTGAGAGCCTCCATGGTCCAGAAACACCCTACCTGTAGGGAGTGTGGGAAAACCTTTTACAGGAATTCTCAGCTTTTGCTTCACCAGAGAACTCACACCAGAGAGGCATCCTTTCAGAGCCCCACTTGCCAAAGAACGTTTTTGCGGAGCTCAGACTTTGTGAAGCATCAGAGAAGCCACACGGGAGAGAAGCCTTACAAATGTGATTACTGTGGGAAAGGCTTCAGCAAATTCGCAGGATTGCGCCATCACAAGAAAATCCACACGGGAGAGAAGCCCTATAAATGTCCCGTCTGCGAGAATAGCTTCATCGATAGGTCAAACTTTATCAGACATCAGCGGGTCCACACAGGAGAGAAGCCTTACAAGTGTTCTCACTGTGGGAAAAGTTTCACTGAGTTCTCTGGGTTGCGCCATCACGAGAAAATACACACAGGGGAGAAGCCCTATAAATGTCCCGTCTGCGAGAAAGGCTTCATTCAGAGATCAAACTTTATCAGACATCAGCGGGTCCACACAGGAGAGAAGCCGTACAAGTGTTCTCACTGTGGGAAAAGTTTCAGCTGGAGCTCAAGCCTTGATAAACATCAGAGATCTCACTTGGGGAAGAAGTCCTTTCAATAGCTGCCCTCTTTTAGTTCATTTCTCTCCGACCAATTAAAAACACTCTGCTTTTGGAGCCATCTGTTGGAATTCCTTTTTGTGCCTTGATCTATTTTCATGTGCTGGGGATGGGAGAACCAGCAGGTAGTTTTGCGCTTGGAGGGAAGATTGGGCTCCTGGCAGCTTACTTTCCTGCCTCTGTGTCATGAGAAAGAATTGTTCTAATCTCTCAGCTCATCACTGCGGACTCCTTATGGAGGATGGGCATTATTTGGAGATGCAGCTTTAAAAGTGTTCTTTGGCCAGAGTTTCGGAGAGCATCTGTAATTGGTGTTGATGGGAAGAACTTCCTATCAGCACTTCAGTGCTGGGTTTCTATAGCATGTCACCCGGTACCAAAGGTTCAGCAGACAGAGGACCATAGAACTCAGGTGTTCTCTGACGTACTGGTGAAAAACTAACCGGAAGTACCCCCCACCTCATCTTGAGTAAACTTAGTAGAGTCACATCTCATCTCATTTGTGTTTAAAGTGTTCATTCTGATCACTGTCACTCAAAAAGCCTGGTCTTTTTCATGAAGAGGGCTGGTAGGTACGAACTGCTAACTTTGAGTTTAGCATCCCAACTCATAACCCACTGTGCCACCATGGCTCCCTTGGCCAATGCTAGGCACCGCTTTTCCTCAGGGCAGTTGCTTTGGTGTCCTGATATCCCACTGAGAGCATAATTTTTCCCAGAGTGCTTTGTGCTTTTAAATTATCCCCCCTTTTTTGGGTCTGTGGATGTTAGGAAGCAATCAATGTCCCTGATGTTTATATACTGTCTCTAGATGGCCTAGTGGATTAGGAATCGGACTGATAGACACATGGTCAGCAGGTCAAGCCTAGCAGCCACTCGGTGGGAGCAAGATGAGGCTTTCTGCTCCCATGAAGAGTTACAGCCCTGGAAACTCCAAAGGGCAGTTCTGCCCTGTCTTAATAGGGTCCACGTGAGTCACCATTGACTGGGTGGCAATGAGTGCATTAGGTTTCTAAATGAACACAAGTTGCTTCAAAAGTTTGGTGGGAAAATGATCTCATTCATTTTTTCAGAAATTAAAAAAATTTTCAAATGTCTGGCCTGTAAAAATTACCTACTTGTTGGAAAGTATCTTCTTTCTGATGTAGAGTGAGACTTCCACCTGCCTTTCCTTTGGTCCTGCTCCGGCCTGACCGTATTGTGCTGTTCTCAGTGAGGATCTGCAAAGAAAAGAGTAAAGACTTGGCTCTCTTCCTGCGCACAGATGACTTCCTAGGTAGGAAACTGCAAAAGGTTGGCAACAATCGGGAGGGAGGTCCTGGTTATTGTAAGAGGAGGCGGAAATTTTAAACTGAATTGACTGTCACAGGAGGACTGTTTATTCCCTGAAAGCAGGAGGATGAGGAAGAAGGCCTCACTTGGTTGGGTGTAGCAGCCTCTGGGCTGGAATGAGTAGAAACATGGAGGAGTTGCCATTGGATTCTGCATTCTTTATAGGTAACGTTTGTAGATGGTGGTATTTGATGGTATACAGCAGCATCTCTGAAGGAGTGGTCCCCAGACCATCAGCATCTGCAACCAGTGAGACTTAGTGAAATCAGAAGTTCTCAGTGAACTGAGCCATCTTTGGTTTAAAAATCCCTCCAGGGGACCCTAATACCTACTCAAGTTTGTGAACAGTGGCTCTAAGGGGTAATTGATTAAAAAAATGTTTCTGACGGGGTATGAGGGGATAACGATACTAAATGGCATACTAGGCCCTCCTAGGCATTTCTTACCACCACACCTCTCCCTATAAAAGACCTATAAAAGGTCTTTATAGCTCTTTAAAATTGTGGAGCCCTGTGGATTTTCACTCGTGTGTTCCACAGAAGAAAATTTAGAATACTTAGGTTAGAAAGCTTTACTTTTTTAAATCATTTTATTAGGGGCTCATACAGCTCTTATATCACAATGCATACATACATCAATTGTGTAAAGCACATTTGTACATCATTGCCCTCATCATTCTCAAAACATTTGCTCTCCACTTAAGCCCCTGGCATCAGGTCCTCATTTTTGCCCCTCCCTTCCTGCTCCGCCCTCCCTCATGAGCTCTGGATAATTTATAAATTATCATATCTTGCCCTGTCCGACATCTCCCTTCACCCACTTTTCTGTTGTCTGTCCTCCAGGCAGGAGGTCACATGTAGATCCTTGTCATCGGTTCCCTCTTTCCAACCCACTCTCCCTCTACGCTTCCAGTATCGCCACTCCCACCACTGGTCCTGAAGGGATCATCTGCTCTGGATTTCATGTGTTTCCAGTCTGAATTCTACCTTGCAAGTCTGGCTAGACCAGAGGATGTACACTTGTATGGTTAGAAAGCTTTAGAGGAGAGATTTCTTTGGGTCCCTGGTGGTCGATCTCAAGGATGACAGATACAGGAAACAACCTGCATAGTTCACAGCTGCATCTTCAGCAAATAGTAGGTGTTCGACCAAACTCTATTGAATGGATGTGTGAATTAATGGATACCAGTGCATTAGTTAAACTGTAATCCTCTAGAACTAGTATAGGCAAAATACAATCCACCGCATGTTTTTGTCAACAAAACTATTGGAACACAGGCAGATGCACACACCCATTTGTTTACATGCAGTTTGAGTAGTTGCGATAGAGACGGTTTGGCTGCTGTGTTAGGCTGGGTTCATTAGAAAAGCAAAACCAGTGACACATACGATGTAAATTAAGGGAGATTCATATCAAGAACATTGCACAGTTGTGGAAGTGGGCGAGTTGATGTCCACACGTGTTTCTAAGTCCACGAGTCAGATGTGAAGCTGGAGGGTTCTGCCAACTTGTGTGGCTGCAAGGGCTGATGAATCCACGATTGGCGGGAAGACCTCATATGGCAAAGGTGCATGCATCGTAGGTGTGTAGGTCCCATGGCAAACTATTGGCTCAAGTCCAAATAATTGGAAGTCTCTATGCCAGATCCAAACCCAGCCAAAAGCAAACAAACTTTTCCACAGCATTGACTTATGTAAGAAGTAAGCCACAACCCTGAAGAAATTTCCATTCAGTTGTGTCATGGCTGTGATGGAGTGAGGATGCTGCATTCCACCCTCATCTTAGAACTGACTGGCTGCACATCCTGTTACGGAGTTGATTACGTTGGGTTACACATCATGGAGGCTTAGTAGGTCTTTATTGCGGAACCACTGCGAGTTCTTGCTGTGAAAAATGTCGAAATCCTGGGCAGCATATTGTTTCCTGCCTCCTTCCCTCATGAACCTTTGATATTTTATAAACTGTTATTTTTCCATGTCTTGCACTGTCCGATGTCTCCCTTTACCCCTTTATCTGTTGTCCATCCCCCTGGGAGATGGTTATACATAGGTCATTGTGATCAGTTCCTCCTTTCTCCCCCCACCTTGCCCTTACCCTCCTGGTAAGGCTACTCTCAATATTGGTCCCGAGGAGTTTTTTTGTCCTATATTCACTGTATTTCCAGCTCTTATCTGTACCTGTGTACATGCTCTAGTCTAGCCAGATTTGTAAGGGTCATGATAGTGGGGGTGAAGAAGCCTTATAGAACCAGAGGAAAGTTGTATGTTTCACCGATCGATGCTATACTGCACTCTGACTGGCCTGTCTTCTCCCCGAGACCCTTCCGTAAGGGGGTGTCCAATTGCCCACAGATTGGCTTTGGGTTTCCACTCCGTACTCCCTGACTCCATTCACATTGACATGAATTTTTATTCTGGGTCTTTGATGCCTGATGCCTGATCTGTCGACAGCTCATGATTACACAGGGTAGTGTGCTTCCATGTGGGCTTTGTTGCTTCTGAGCTAGAGGGCCGCTTCTTTATCTTCAAACCTTTTTTTTTTTTTTGAGTGTTGAGTCCTTTATTGGGTTTACATGAAAACAAGATGGGTGTGGGAGGGAGACAAGGAGGGAGATCCTAGCTCCCCAGCTGCTGAGGTGGTTCTGAAGCCAGAATGAGGGCAGCTGGTTTCAGGGCGATTTTGATTGGACCGGAAGCGTTGCATGTCCGTTCAGTTCTGTGTTCTTAGAAAACTATTCCAGACAGTGTTACCTTCCACTGTCCTCTTCAGCCTGCTTAGCTTGGGGTAAGACAGTCAGTGGTGCTTCGATAAAACCCTTCAAGCCTTTAAGACCCCAGATGCTATATCTTTTGATAGCTGGGCACCATCAGCTTTCTTCACCACATTTGCTCATACACCCATTTGCCTGAAGCCCCCTCTTATGAAACCGCAGCACCCTTCTCCTTGGAGCCTGTTAATTTTCCTTCTTTTTTAAAAAATAGTTTTATTAAGGGCTCATACAACTCGTAATTATCACAATCCATACATACATCAATTGTGTACAGCA